AGGCTTAATGCAGTATGTATCCAAAGAACAAAAGGTATACTGCTCAGGAAAACAATCCAGATCAATCCACAACAGGTGCAGGCTCTGGCTCGCCACCACACACAATGCAACATGAAGAATGGTCAGCCACACACCAGAGGATAGATGAATATAGTGTGTATTTATTGATCCATAGGACACACAAAACACCAGAACATGAATACAGGACTTGTTAACGCGTTTCACACGATCTCGCACTTAATCATAACCAATGATTTCTATTTAATGCAGTATGTACACTATATATATTTTTACTCAGGGCTGGTCGAAGGATTTTTCTTTACACAGGCGAAGGTGCATTTTACTGCATTCCCCCCCACCATGGTGCCCTAAGGCGGCCCTGGCTCGTTCACACTAACACACAGTGTTTAGCTGTTCTAAATGCAGGAGAAGTCATATAGGAAGTAGAAACAGCTTTTTTTTTTATTGCCAGATAAGTTTTCCTGTGTCAGATGTTCCTTCTTAATGCCTTGTTCACACTGGCATTAGAAACAGACATTCGGGGGGGTGTTTTGGCTGCTTCTAAACAAAGCATCCTACAACAGATAATGTGGACAGTGGATAGAGCTGTTCACACCTAAAAAACGTAGTGTTTGCATTGCTTTGTGTCACTGTGTGACAAAAACTAAGTTACATGTTGAATTCAAGAGGAGTTGAAGCTTGTCAACTCCTTCCATTCAAGTCTATGGTGATGTGCCTTTAACACTTCCGCAACATTTACAGAGTGTCTAGGGTGCTTTTGACAAGCATTTATCAAATATCAGTGAACTGGAAAAAAAAAACACTTTCTCCTTAAAGGAGAACTAAAGGCAAAATATTTTTTTGGTGTTTTGGATAGAGTAAGCGAGGGTTGTAACACCTGTCAGTTTATTTTTTCCATCTGTGACCCATTGGGGAGATTTCCCTTCACTTCCTGTCCCGTAACCAAAACAGGCCTTGAGAGGAAATCCCTCTAAAGTGAGGGAATCCCTGGCTGTCACCAAAATTAGCATCCCCATTGGAAGATTTACTCTTTATTCCTATTCTGGTGACAACCCAACAGTGATAACAGTAAACAGGATAAATAGGGTGAATCTCTGATGGGGTCACAGAAAACAATAAAAACCTGACAGGTGTTCTAATCCCTCTCCACTCTACACAACACTAAAATAAAGTTTTGCCTTTAGTATTATACTTTAATTAAAAAATCACTTGGACAGCTTCTGGGGTGCGGTTGCTGAGTTGTGCTGTGTAAAAACGCACACATGTATCGTTACGCTGTGCACATTGTCACAGAGATCCAATGGTGTGAGGTGGACACACAGAGATCAGTGGTGCGCTCCGCAGTCCTGGTGTTGATCTATGCGGACACGAGGTGGACGACCCTCAGGTCAGGGAACCTCAGCACCCCAGTTGTGGGGAGACTACAAATCCCATCATCCCTCTGATTCAGACTCTCACCCTCTACCATATTGCTGGGGTATGGGTAGCCCCAGCCAGGGACATGCAGCGCGGGTACAGCTGCAGTGGTCTCACTAGGATTGGTGTCACCTGGTGCGGTAAAACATGGTGTCACCCCCCCCAATCATTTTTGCAACTTGCGTTTGGGGTGCGGTTAACTTTGCACTGACATCCGCAGTAGTGCAAATGGAATACGGTGTGGGAAGCCGAACAGGAACGTGCCTTTCCTGAACTACATTCTAGTGTGAAAGACTCTAAAACTATCAAGCAATCCTATGCAGCCCGGGACAGTGGAGCAGGGAACTCTCTCAGGGCCTGTTCACATTGGTATACGGTGTGGGAAACCCATGTTCCCTGCACATTTCCCACACTGCATTCCAAACGCACTGCCCTTTCGATCTGCAGCGGGTCTCAATGCACAGTTCAGGACACCCCAAATGCAGATCACAATTGCAGTGCGTTTGCCCAAACCAGAATGCATGATACAGAAGTTTTCATGCAATCCAGTTGCAGTGCATTTCCAAAAGTAGTGCATGCACTACTTTTGGTGTGGTGTGATGTGATTTCAGCCCATTTGAAATGAATGCCTTGAAATCTCATAGCATCACACTGCACTTGGATCACATGGGAATCGCACCGTATAATCCTGTGAGCTTCATAGTGTGAATGTGCCCTCAAGCTGTGAAAAATAAAGAACATAGTTCAGAAAGAGCCTAAAACAAAGAATGTATGTTAAAAACAAAAACTATAAGGCACTCACAAAAGGAGAAGCGATCATTCATTAAACAAAACTGTGGAGAAGATGACAGAAAGGGGATCTATCAGGGCTTAGAGCTGAAATATTGGTGTCTTCATGCTACACTGGCTGCTGTCCAACAAAGCCTCTCCTCCTGGATTGGCTACTATGATAGACGTCACACTGGTCCAATTTCCTGGTATTGAACCAGTGTGATGCTGATCGCTTCTGGACTGCTTCTGCTGGCAGTGCATGTCTGCGACAGAAGTGGTGCAGCCTATCTGGAGGCATCAGAGCAGACCAGGGGACAGTTGGCCCAGTCCACCCCTGGTGTCACCCGGATGTTGTCCACACCCCCATAGCGATGCCACTATACAGTGGGGAATGGCAGAGTGAGGCTGGTACAAGACACTGGAGGGCATTGTGGGGACATTTCACTACTGTACTGGTGTCCAGACAACACACAGACGGGTGAATACAGGGGATGGTTGTATTTGGGCAGGATTATAGAGAACACATGGCTGGTGCACAGAGTTTTTTGCCTGCACAGTAGCAGTACATTTTACGCCCCCTCCCCCCATCCTGGCACTCTAAAGCAGCTGCCTTATGGTAAAGAAATGGCAAACCCAGATACTTCTGTGCTTAGGGATGGACTCTGTGTAGTTGGGACCACATCACAAAATTCTTGGGACATGCACGCCTTGCTGTCCTCAAAAGACCAGGGAAGTCAAAATATACTGAATAGAGAAAAACAAACAGAGGGTCACTGGCCTAGTGCATTACCTTAAAAAATGTGTTTGTAAAATGTTAAAAGTAGGTTTTGTACTCACAAAATGACAATACAGTCAGGCACATCCTGAAGGAACAGCTCTGTCCGATCCGCACTACGTATCTGTCCATAATGGGAGCTCTGGATCTCCAACAGGCTGACGTGTTTCGAGGACTTGCCTCTTCCTCAGAGCCCTAGCCTGCCCTGGGGTTCAGGTAAGTATTAGGCGGTCTCTGGGGGGGGGGGTTTATCTTCATGCATAGAACATGCATAGGTGGCAGCAAAGTAGCTAAATGGATAGCACTTCAGCCTGGCAGTACTAGGGTCGCTGGTTCAAATCCCAACCATGGCACCTCCTGCCTGAAACTTGCATGTTATCCCTGTGCCTGCATGGGTTTCCTCTGGGTACTCTGGTTTCCTCCCACAATCCAAAATCATAATGATACGTTAATTGAATACTGTCTAAATTGGCCCTAGTATATGAATGTGAGTTAGGGACCTTAGATTGTAAGCTCCTTGAGGGTTAGGGACTGATGTGAACACACACACCCACCCACCCCCCTCTATATAAGTACTTGTAATCAGGGCTGTGGATACAGTCCTCCTGTATGGGGCCCAGGCAGCTGGGTGAATCAGATGTGGGCAGATGATTGGCACAGCAGAGGGGTAATTACTAGAACCAATCCCCTGTATTATTATTATACAGGATTTATATAGAGCCAACTGTTTTTGCTCAATGCTTTACAATATAACAGGAGACAATACAGCAACAATACAGTTCAATACAAGAGGGCTAGGAGGGCCCTGCTCCTTGGAGCTTACAATCTAGGAGGCTCTCTCTGCAGTTTCTGAAAGCTGGCTTCTTATCTCCCTTCTGCTGGATTTCAGATGCTGCAGAGAGAGCCATACAGGGGTTGTTTCCAGTCATTCCCTTCCCCGCCACCGCACCCTTCACCCTCCCTGTGCACTATACCTTTCCCCCTGTTGCCCAGGCACCCCCATGTACCCCACAGTGCTTCCAGCTTCCCTCCTCTCCTCACCACCAACAGATGCAAGCACACAAGTGTATCCTTCAGCATGGAGAATGGGGGAAGGGTCCAGTAAATATGTCACATTTACCAGCTCCTTCCTTTCCCGAATTAACACAATGAGTGATCGGTACTGATCAATTACTCTGTGCATTCATAACTGAAGCATAGTAAATTGTTTACTTTAGCGGGGCCCTGTCAAGTTGGCTGTATGGGGCCCCATGGTTTCTAGCAGTAGCCCTGCCTGTAATAAAAAACATATGAAGGGAAAAAAACCTTCAGCCTTTACAACCAATTTAAGTTCCTGACAGGGGCGAACTAACCATTTGGAAACTCAGGCACTGCCCGAGAGCCCAGGGTCAGTAGGGGGCCCCATGAGATGCCCCTGGTACTTTTTTCATAGGCTTTTTTGAGTTTGGGCAAGGACACAGGGGCCCCATGATCCTCTATTGCCCAGGGGCCCCATGAGTTGTCAGTCTGCCCTGATTCCTGAACTTCTGTTTTACGTTGTGCCAAGCTACACCAATGTAATCATGGCAAAAAAAAAAATCATAGCTTGGGTTCAGCTTCAAGCAGGGGCGGACTGACAACTCATGGGGCCCCCGGGCAATAGGGGATCGTGGGGCCCCTGTGTCCTTGCCCAAACTCAAAAAAGCCTATGAAAAAGGTACCAGGGGCATCTCATGGGGCCCCCTACTGACCCCGGGCCCTCGGGCAGTGCCCGAGTTTCCAAATGGTCAGTCCGCCCCTGGCTTCAAGTAAATACATAAAAAATGACTCTACTGAGGTAAAGACCAAATAAAGTGGTACATGAGCCGAGCACGGCTGTGACTTTGTCTGCTCTCAGTACGAGTCCAAGGTGGAAAAGAACACTGCAACTTCTTCTTTTACCACTAGATGGTGTAGGATGGGAGCGCTGGGCGCGCATGCGCGCTGGAAGGTGCTACCGGCTTCTCTTCCTCCCACGTGAGCAGACGGGAAAATGGCACCGCGCATAGGGAAGCGTGCTAAGAGGGCTGGGGGAGCGGACGGGGTGTCGGCGCGGAAGGAGCTGGACTCGAAGCTCGGAGCGGTGCTGGAGAGCCGGGCTAATGCGAATTCTGTGTTCGATATCTTGGAATATTTAGAGGTGATGGATAACATGACACGTGCTGTCTGCATGATGACTGGCTGTGTGTTTACTATGAGGGGACACGCTCTGCTGGGATTCATAAAGCCTGCCATACTGCGCTAGAATTGGGTGCATTCACACCGATGCCTTTCCTGACCGCGTGACAAAACGCAGAGCTGTACGTTTTGCTGTGTGTTTTGGAAACACGTGGTGCCAGTAGGCTAGGCTCACGCCTCTGCATTTTTCTGGCATGCCTTGGGTTCTTGATCATTGTTTTTCTGTTTCGCTTCCTTTTTTTTTTTTTGCCAATAGGAAGGCATTGACTTTGATGTGACTTTGGATGGGTGCGACTTGGGTAAGACCTTGATGCTACTTGAGTGCCAGATAGTGTGAATTTGCATGAAAGTCACAGAGCTATCATACTTCCCTATTGGCAAACGGGATGCATTGATGTTGCAGCCATCCAAAGTTAATAGTTTCCTATTGCCCATTCTAACTTCTGCTTAAACTTTGTGATTTTTAATGCCTGCTTAGACCAAAAATACCCCGAAAGCTTGTCCTCAAAAATGTTAGTGCAAATATAAAAAAAGTATCACGGACAGTACTCAATTGTTTCTATTGCCCAAAAAAACCCGCAAACCGCACTAATTGTCTGCTGCGTGTCCATTGTAAACCATGTTGCGTTTAAAAAAACAAAATTCCCTTCCAAAAATGCAGCGGGTGAAAAACGCATAGATGTGAACTTGTCCCATGCAAACCTGTGTTAACCACTTACCCTCCAGAGGATTTCCCCCCTTCCTGACCAGGCCATTTTTTTGTATTATTTTAATTGACAATTGCAGGGTCATGCAATGCTGCACCCAAATGAAATTTATGGCCACTTTTTTTTTTTTTTCCCAACGACTTGAGCTTTCTTTTGGTGGTATTTGATCCTCTGTGTGTTTATTTTTTGCACCATTTAAAAAAGAGAATTTTGATAAACTATATTTTTGACTTTTTGCTATTAAACATGTCCAGTAAAAACATTTAAAAAAATTTTGTCATAAATTTACACCAAAATGTATTCTGCTACATGTCTTTGCTAAAAACAAAATCCCAATTTGTAAATTAAATTGTTTTGCTTGAAAGGTATAGCGTTTGCAAATGGCTATATATGGATTTTTTTTTCATTTTTACTAGTAATGACGGCGATTATGGTGAAACTGCAGCGGGACATTCTGATACTTTGCGGAACTGACTTGGTGTCACTGACATCCCCAGTGACCCCAATACAGTGATCAGTGCTTAAAAAAAAAAAAAAAAGCACTGACACTGGACTAATGGCACTGGGCAGGAAGGGGTTAACATGAGGGGCGATCAAAGGGTTAACTTTGTGCTGGGAGTGTTTTACTAGGGGGCAGTGTGTGTGTGTGATTCACTGTAATCACGCTGCTGTGGATGGCTGTGCTGTGCACAGCCATCCGCAGCAGTGTGCCCGAGCTGACAGGAAGGAGGACTGTTAGTAAACAAAACAGTCCTGCTCCCCGTCGGAAATCCTTGGAAATCACCGGACGCCGGCGAGTAATTACTGGCCGAGGCCCAGGAATTGACGGCCGTGAATGGCGGCCCCCTATCCCGAAATGCAAAAACACGTGTATATACACGTGATTTTGTGTACCGCTGCTGCCCTGTAGCAGTATTTCTGCTATAGGGCAGTCGGCAAGTGGTTAACTGACAATTGCACGGTCATGCAACGCTGTACATAAAATAAATTTGTGTCCTTTTTTTTCTGCAAAAAATAGAGCTTTCGGTGGTATTTGATCACCTCTTTTTTGTGTTGGTTTTTTTTGTGCTATAAATGGAAAAAGACAGACAATTTTGAAAACAAAAAATAATTTGACTTTTTGCTATAAAACATCCAACAAACAAACAAAAATTAACATTTCTTCATAAATTTAGGCCAAAATGTATTCTGCTACATGTCTTAAAAAAAACAAAAAACAAAAACAAAAAACATCCCAATAAGTGTATATTGGTTTACATGAAAGTTATAGCGCCTACAAATGGGGTGTGTATATGTGTGTGTGTGTGTGTATATATATATATATATATATATATATATATATATACACACACACTGGAATTTGTATTTTTATTTCTTTTATCGTAGTAACGATGGCAATTGTCGACTTATAGCGGGATGTCGGCAGGCATTCTGACACTGGGTGGGAACTAACTGCCACTAACATCCCCAGTGACACTAATACAGTGATCAGTGCTAATAAAAAGCACTGACACTGTACTAATGACACTGGGCAGGAAGGGGTTAACATCTGGTGCGATCAAAGGGTTAACTTTGTGTGTTTTACATTGTGCTGTGTGTGTTTTACTAGGGAAACATGCTGTTTTGTATTTTTCTGCTATGCAGAGAACTACAAAGCAGCATGTCCTTGCTGACAGGAGAGAGACCCGTGTTGTGTACACACAGGTCTCTCCTGTCAGCCTGGCTGACGATCACTGAGTGATTGACATGTCCAGCAGCCAATAGTGGCATGGGTTGGACTGCGCGCATACGTGCCCCCTACCTGGAAATGCAGATCACATATATTTACGTGACTTTGTGCAGCCCTGCCGCCCTGTAGCAGTACTTCTGCTATAGGGTGGGGGAAAAAGTGATTTAATAGACTGTAGTGCGTTTCTGCAAAATGCACTAATTAAAAAAAAAAAAGTATAGGTGTGAACCATGTCTTAAGATTAATGACTCCCCAGACGCAGTTAGCAAAGCGTATTTTATCACATGACAATGACTGAAAAGGTTCTGGAGCTGCTTTGGGGTGTTTGTCGGAAATAGTTCAAGCCTATTCAAGCGAATTGACTGCCTTATTCCTGATACTCATTAATGCGTGATAAACACGTAAAAAAAAAAATCATTCTTGCTACGCTCAGATGTAAATGGGGCCTAAAAATGCACAGTAGTTTTGCTGAAGGGTGAATTGGGTTTTATTGGGAGCACTACATGTCTGCTAAAGTGACGGGGGTTTCTGTGTGTTGGGAAAGTGTGCGATGTTGCACATTTGTGAACCTAGGCTTGCACTGTTGCAGGACAGCGTGTACACAACACTTTTCCACACACTGCTGTTTTGCAGTCGCGGGGGTGCTGATCATTCTTTATGGCACCCCCACTTTTTCAGGAGCAGGAAATTGCATGATGCAAAAGCTCCCACTCATTGGCTCCTGTTGCTGTCAATCACAACCAGTGAGCTAACAGAGAGAGGGCCAAGCTGCTTGCTCTGGGGCACTAGACAAGAGGGAGGGGCCAGGAGCATTGGCGGGGGACCCGAGAAGAGGCAGATCGGGGATGCTCTGTGCAAAACCTCTGCACAGAACAGGTAAGTATGACACGTTTGTTATTTAACCACTTCACATCCGCCCTATAGCAGATTTACTGCTACAGGGTGGATGTTCTGTGCAAAATCGCGTATATAAACATTGTTTTGCATTTCCACCACAGGGGTGGCGCCTGCCTGCCACCGGAGCGCCGCTTCTGCTGTTATTGGAAGCAGCAGAAGTCAATCAACAGGCACTGGCCAATAGATGAGCACCGACATAACAGCTCTGCTTGTGTAAACAAAGTAGAGCTGTGTTATGTCAAACAGCAATCTGCTAGGTTTTATTCAGAAAATAAAATCTATCAGATTGCCTGGTAAAAATAATACACAGTGCACACAAACACTGGCTAGGCACACAACCCTTTGATCACCCTAGATGTTTATCTCCTTCCCAGCCCGTGTCAATACAATGACAGTGTATATTTTTAGCACTGATGATTGTATTATTGTCACTGGTTCCCATAGTGTCAGTGTAAAATGGCCGCCTCAATATAGCAGTCACTGATCCACCTACATTACTGGTATTAAAAAAAATTAAAAATTGCAGTATATATAATGCCATTTGTAGACGCCATACCTTTTGCGCAAACCAAGCAATATACGCTTATTGTTTTTTTAACAAATATATAGCAGAATACATTTTGGCCTAAATTTATGAAGACATTTAATTTTTTTTATTGATGTTTTATAGCAGAAAGTAAAAAAATATTTTTTTTTTTTTTTTTTTTTTTAAATGTTAGTGTTTTTTCATGGACTCTGGGATTTTTCCCTGAAAGTCAGAGAGCAAACAACCTAAAACCAGTAATGCCTGTTGTCTTCCTGTAGCTGATCTTTCCTCATAACTGCCTTATTCTGCACTGTGCCTGTATGGAGGTGGCAATCTGGATAGAAGTAGAGGCATACTCAAATCTGACTCCAATTTGCTTAAAACTAGCAGTCAGGCCACAGTGCCTTAGATCTCATACTGCAGATATACAGCTGTGAGGCTGTAGGCACAAGAGTGCCTTGGCTCCCTCATATACCAGAAAGTCCACTGCCATTTTTTCTAAAAGTTTCCTATTACAGCCTTGCTTTTGAGTTTTGTTCCAAATGCTCCAGTGGAAACCCTGTATACTTTCAATAGCCCTCTTTTCACTTGACAACAATATGTACAACATTCTGCAGCCAGAATCCTCACTAGGTCTGGTACAAGTGACCATATTACCCGTATCCTGGAGTCCTTGCACTGACTACCTGTCAGGTATCACATAGACTTTAAGATCCTCTTGCTCTACGTGGCTCGGCACCCTGTTACCTGTCTGAACTGTTGTCAACTTACTGCCCCCCTCGTAACCTCCGCTCCTCAAATTCTGGTCTTCTGTGTGTTCTCCTACTCGCCTACACGCGATAAGAGACAGCCTTCTGCTATGTCCCAAAACTCTGGAATTCACTTTCAAGGAAAATCAGAGAGTCACTTTCTCTAAACTCATTCAGATCAAATCTAAACTTTTTTTCTTTAGATAAGCTTCCACTTAACTGTCCTTTTTTTTTTTTTTTTTTTTTCGTTAGCTTTATCTTGTGTATTTCTTGTGTTGTCTTTGTAAAGTGCTTTGAGAAGCTACCTTTAACCGCTTCCCGGCCACACTATAGCAGAAATACTGCTACAGAGCGGCATGGGTGCGCAAAATCACATATATATATATGTATGTATGTATATGTGATTTCGCATTTCCGGGTAGGGGGTGTGCATGAGCCCTACCCGCGCCATGGCTTTCAGTCACCGGGCCGGTAAATACTCACCGGCGCCCGGTGATTTCCGAGTATCTCCGGCGGGGATGAGAACTGTTTTGTTTATGAGCAGTCCTCCTCCCTGTGAGCTTGAGAACACTGCAGCATGGTCACAGTGAAGCACACACATCCCGCCCCCTAGTAAAAAAAACTCCCTGCACACAGATAACCCTGTGATTGACTCTCATGTCAACCCCTTCCTGCCCAGTGTCATTAGTACAGCGTCAGTGCTTTTTTTTTTTTTTTTTTTTTTTTTAGCACTGATCGCTGTATTGGTGTCACATGTCACGAGATGTGACGCTAAAAATAACGCACAGGCGATCAAATACCCCCCCCCCAAAAAAAGCTCAAGTCGTGGGGAAAAAAAGGACGTAAATTTAATTTGAGTGCAGCATTGTATGGCCACTCAATTGTCAGTTTAAATTAACGCAGCGCTGTAACGCAGAAAATGGCCTGGTCAGGAGGGGGGTATATCCTCTGGAGGGCAATTGGTTAAAGGCACTATATAAAATAGTTTTTATTATTATTTCACTATTTGCATTGCAGAGATCTGAAGTCAGATCTGCTGGGAGTAGCATTTGTGCTCTTTCAAAGACCAACACATCTATCTGTGGACTGTCTTTTATAAACCAAGTTGGGCAATATTACAATCCGGAATGTAATTTATATGCACATTTTTAATTTGCAATTAAGTATATTCTTTATTCATGCTGTTTTAGTCAGAAAACGATGGCGATGTTCAAGCTGCAATCCGAACATGTTCTAAACTTTTTGAATCCTTGCTGGAGAAAGGAGAGCTTTATATTGGGGACCTTCCACCTGAAGATCAAAGCCTTCCCGGTAAGGAGAGCCTACAAAGTGTATGTGTATCCTGCTCTTCTGTGAATGCCATTTTTATCTATACACTACCAATGAACAACAAAACACAGCAGACTAAATGTTAACAATGAGGTAAATTATGTAGTCAGCTGGTACCACCCATATACTGCCAAATTGTTGAAACATGCCGAAATAATCAATATCAAATGGCGAGCATCAGTGACACTCGCTGCGGGTTTTGAAGTATGTTTTGTAGACTCCAGTTTATTTCTGCATTATTGATAATTTTTCTTAGTCACATAAGGATTTCTCCTGTTTGGATACCAGTTTATATTCTTTAGACTGAAATTATGATGTTCAGATCCCAAATCCAGCCAAACTTGATTTTGTATAGAGCAGCAAAATTCAGCTTTGTCACTCTAGGACACAAGTACAGAACGTTGACCCTGTCATATTGTCCATTACATAGGGGAAGTGTTCTTTAGTCCACAGGTCTGGGAACAGTGATAACTGATTAGTTGCAAAGGGTACAAAAACTTATCAGCTCACAAAATTTTTGTCAGGATCAACAGGCATTTTTTTTTGCACTATCAAAAAGCTATTACAAAATCATTTCAATGGTGTATTCAACATTCCAAAAAGGAGAGCATAAGTTCATTTTTAGGGTCTACAAATACTTTTAAGTCTCATGTCAGTTAAAGGTTAGTCTAGGCTATCTGTCTTAGCTTGAACATTGAGCCCTCATTTTTTTGAATGGTACAATGGAATGATGGAATCCTGGTAAATAATGAATTAGTGTGTCTGCTTTTTGTGTGAACAGATTCCACCGGTGCAGAGGAGAAGTACAAGATATGGATGAGGCATCGCTACAACAGCTGTGTCTCCTGTTTGGCGGACCTGTTACATCACAGTTCTTTCCAGATTCAGGTCAGAATTATTTTTATGTGGGTATAGCTGGGCAGATATCCCCTTGAGAAAGACAGGTACAGAGATTTTTGACAGTCCTTGAGCAAGTTGATAAAACACAGGGACCAGATGCAGTTCTTGCCTAACAGAGGGCATGGCCACTGCATAAGAATGCAGGAGTTGATTCACTTTTAGGAAAATAGAAATGTCATTGTGTGATGATGAGATCCCTCTGACTGCTGACCTCAGATCAGAAACCACCCATTTATCGTAAACAATGATGGAAATTGGTATCCCTTGCTTTTGTTAGTCAAGCTATTTTTATAGCTTGCTCTTTGGATTTTATTACCCACTTTCCCGTGCACAAGTTGCCAATGAGCCTTTGGGGCAGATATTCTAAAAATCAAGAGTGCGAAATCTGGTGCAGCTCTGTATGATAGCCACTCATCTTCTTAGGTTACTTTTCGCACTGATTCGTAGCAAAAATAGTTTTTACCTCATTTGCGGTGCTTTTTACACGTCACATGACTCAAAAACGCAACATGGGTGCGTTTTTTTTGCCGTGTCTTCCATGCATTTCAATGGGGAGGTGCGTTTTTGGTGTGGGTTTTTTTTTTTACCCCACCAATAATGCAGCAAGTAGGCTTTTATAAACTGCAGCGGACCCACGGATCATGTGAAGAGTTCCATAGGTTTACATGGTCACATGTTTTTCTTCCTGGCAGCTGATTGGTTTCTATGCAGAACTGCAACAGATTTTGCACTTTCCAGTTTTCATAGATCAACCCCACTATTTACCAAAGCTATGAATATTTCTCTCTCTTGAGCCCCAGTTACAAGGAGGGGTCCAACAGGGGTTCTGTTAATTTACCATTGCCAAAAACTAAGAAAAAAAAAAAAAAAACGTTTCTGCCTTGACTTACAAATACATGTAAGCCCAGCATGTTAACTCAATTGACTACTATTTTGTGAGCATTAATGGAATTACTCTGCAGCCATGGGTAAAGGTTTTTGGATGTTGATGCATTTATACTGCAATTAAATGCAGATAATCTGCAGAATTGTGTGTTTTATTGCTTATCTTACTGCTAGTTAGATATTTTGATAGGAACCTTAGGAATTGCATATCTTCTTAAATACTTAAGCTGGGTATACACTAGTAGAATTCAAAATTTTTTGTTGTAAGAAAGTTTGTTCATTTTTGTAATCATTAGTGTGGTCAAATTGACGTTTGTTTTCTATCGCAGTGATGAGAAACTTTGATGGAGCAGGATGGAAACTTTTTTTTAACGTACAAATTTCTAACTGTATGTAGTTTTCATTCACTAAAGTCCATACATCCCATAATCAAATGTTAAAGGCAAATGAAATCTTGAACTACTTTAGAACAACAGTCAAATGTTTTGAGAATTTTCATATGAATTTTCAGATAATTTTTTGCTCAAACTTCTACTAATGTATACCCAGCTTTAGTTGAGAAACCGTGAACTGTCACCCGCTAGTTCAGGCAAACCAATAACTCACACAGCCTAAGTTCTCCTAGAAAAATGTACTCTTAAATAATTTGTCTGAGTTCTTCTGACATTTTTCCTATTCTTCTTAAGGAACTTGCATTGTGTGTTCTTCTGAAATTCATTGTGCTAGAAGGGAAATTCCCTTTGGAAGCTGCCAAATGGAAAGATGGTTACCGTTTCTCACGTCCACTGTTAAAAGTAAGTTTAACCTTCAACTCCTGGAACCAATTTATGAAATGTTATTCCCTCTTAGATGTGCATAAGACTTGCTGTTTACTGTTTTATGTTTTTATTTGTAAATCTGTAATGTTAATATTAGAACTTAGATCTGTAATGCTATATTTATCAATTTGCCAAGTTTCTAGTGTGTGTTCAGTGAAACGTCATTAGTTCTATGGCACAAGATGTAAACCACTGATTGCAAGGGCACTTCTCAGTAGTTGTTAGTGATTCCTTAGAGCAGAGCCCCTAGTAACCTTCTTTAGGTTCACGTTGCCTATCCTACAAATTTGTAGGAGAAATACTAGAGGTAAGAACCCATGCCGAAGAGTGAATATGGCCTCCAAAGCAGAAACAATGTTAATCAATGGAAGGCTGCTGGCGCGAAATCGTTTGTCAGGCTAGAAGTTGAACACTTTACTGACCACAGTCCTGGAAATGCATGCTTTTTTAGAAGACAGTGGGCAACATGTAGGCATGCTAAAGATTAGCCATCTCTGCTAAAATGTCATGCCAGATCTATTTTGCGATCGAGTACGTGATGCAAGTGTGTGATGGTGAATACTGTTGGACTTTGCTAATGTTGTTGAAGTCACTAGAAGGGTAGTTTTGATGCATTCTAGGGGTTAATTCCTTCCAACTGAATGAATATATATATATATGAGATAGATACAGGTGAAACTCGAAAAATTAGACTATCGTGCAAAAGTTCATTTATTTCAGTAATGCAACTTAAAAGGTGAAACTAATATATGAGACTCATTACATGCAAAGCAAGATAGTTCAAGCTGTGATTTGTCATAATTGTGATGATTATGGCTTACAGCTCATGAAAACCCCAAATCCACAATCTCAGAAAATTAGAATATTGTGAAAAGGTGCAATATTCTCGGCTCAAAGTGTCCCCCTCTAATCAGCTCATTAAGCCATAACACCTGCAAAGGGTTCCTGAGCCTTTAAATGGTCTCTCAGTCTGGTTCAGTAGGAATCACAATCATGGGATAGACTGCTGACCTGACAGTTGTGCAGAAAACCATCATTGACACCCTCCATAAGGAGGGAAAGCCTCAAAAGGTAATTGCAAAAGAAGTTGGATGTTCCCAAAGTGCTGTATCAAAGCACATTAATAGAAAGTTATGTGGAAGGGAAAAGTGTGGAAGAAAAAGGTGCACAAGCAGCAGGGATGACCGCAGCCTGGAGAGGATTGTCAGGAAAAGGCCATTCAAAAGTGTTTGGGACTTTCACAAGGAGTGGACTGAGGCTGGAGTCAGCGCAGCAAGAGCCACCACACACAGACGGATCTTGGACATGGGCTTCAAATGTCGTATTCCTCTTGTCAAGCCGCTCCTGAACAACAAACAACGTCAGAAGCGTCTTACCTGGGCTAAAGAAATACAGACCTGGTCTGTTGCTCAGTGGTCCAAAATCCTCTTTTCTGATGAGAGCAACTTTTGCAGAAGAATGGAGAGGCACACACTGCAAGATGCTTGAAGTCCAGTGTGAAGTTTCCACAGTCTGTGATTTAGGCAGCCATGTCATCTGCTGGAGTTGGTCCACTGTGCTTTAAGTCCAGGGTCAACACAGCCGTCTACCAGGAGATTTTGGAGCACTTCATGCTTCCTTCCGCAGACGAGCTTTATGGGGATGCTGACCCCATTTTCCAGCAGGACTTGGCACCTGCCCACACTGCCAAAAGCACCAAAACCTGGTTCAGTGACCGTGTGATTACTGTGCTTGATTGGCCAGCAAACGCCTGACCTGAACTCCATAGAGAATGTATGGGGCATTGCAAGAGAAAGATGAGACATGAGACCGAAAGTGCAGAAGAGCTGAAGGCCGCTATTGAAGCATCCTGGTCTTCCATAACACCTCAGCAGTGCCACAGGCTGATAGCTTCCATTCCACGCCGCATTGAGGCAGTAATTGCTGCAAAAGGGGCCCAAACCAAGTACTGAGTACATATGCATGCTTATACTTTTCAGAGGTCCGATATTGTTCTATGTACAATCCTTGTTTTATTGATTGCATATAATATTCTAATTATCTGAGATTGTGTATTTGGGGTTTTCATGAGCTGTAAGCCATAATCATCACAATTATGACAAATCACGGCTTGATCTAACTTGCTTTGCATGTAATGAGTCTATCTCATAAATTAGTTTCTCTTTTTAAGTTGCATTACTGAAATAAATTAACTTTTGCACGATATTGTAATTTTTCGAGTTTCACCTGTAGATAGATAGCAGATTTGCTCATTATTGAAGTCCTCTTCTTACTTTTTTTTTTTTTTTTTTTTTTCTTTTGAGTTGGTTGTAACTAGCCTGCTGCCAGAAGACAAGGATTCTGCCTCTTTAATAACAAGATTTCAAGAGTATCTGGAATATGATGACGTCCGATATTATACCATGTCTTTGATTAATGAAAACATTGTACGAGCGCATCAGAATACCAAAGAAGTAAGGCTCGGTCCTGATTTGGCTTAGTCTTTTTATTTTGATGTTATTTTGGAAGCACTACTCTTTGAGCTGAAAATATGTATATTTTAGCATTTTGCTATGACATAAGCATATAAAGACACATAACTGAGTCCAGATGCAAAAAAAACACAGCATGAGAGAATTACAAAACCAATAACTATCTTACTAAAGTATTACTTTTTCAATTTTATTCACTGTTATAATTGAGTCTTATGGCTGATGCTTAAATTTTTCTTGTTTCTCAAGCCACATTCCCTCCCCACTGCATTCCAGAACAATGTCTTTTGCCTGCTCTCATCCATTAATATGCCTGTAGAGAATGAATTATCACATTTCCTGGTAGAACAGAAAGGTGAGAAATTATTAATTTTACTGTTACTTTTGGTTTTTGTATGTGACCTCCATATCTGTTATGTTAAACGTAAAATGGGCCGTGTCAGAATATGTAAATAAGATGAGTATCCAGAAGGAGTTCAGTTGTTAAAAACCTAGCACAATGTTATAGTTCAGTAAGTAAAAATAGAGAGTTTAATTATTTAAAATAATCTGTACTCGCATCAGCATGTTGCTACTGGTACCCAAGGACACCTGTTCATACCCTCTGTTATTTTGTAGAGCACCCTCTGATATTAAAATTTACAACCCCACGGGATTCCAGATTTAGACTTTCATCCTTTGTTTTTATTTTGGTTGTGCTCCAGGGTTCACTATTTTTCCTTCTTTTGAGTATTACTGTAGTACCGTAATTGTCACATTGTTCTCTGTGGCTTATAAATAAAACATTTAAGCTGTAGTACAGTTTGAAAACAAAATATAACTTTCCCTCTGCAAGGTAATGGCATAATTTGCTAGCATACTAGCACATTATGAGAATTTACCTTGAAACAAAGTCACTGATGTTTCCAGCTGCAGATGTAGTGATCTCTCCTAAGTGCATGTTGTGGAGATATTGCTTGTACCTACAGTTAAGCTTATAATAAGGCTTACCTGTAGGTACAAGTGAGCAAGCAGTTTTTCCTACCACTTTAAATTGCATCTCTAGACAAAACTTTTATTTGGTGTTTGGATAGACTGGGAAAGGGTCAGACCCTCTGTCAAGTGTTTATTGCTGCCTGTGTTTAGGGAGATTCGCCCTTCTATTAGTACTGGTGACTGTTGTCACTGAAACAGAAAGCGACAGGAAATCCAAAATTTTAGTGTTGTCTGCAGATGCTGAGGACATCTTATAATGGGGACAACTGTCTAAGAGGGGAGTTTCCCTCACATTGAGAGATTTCCACTAATATCCTCAGACAGGAAGTAAAGTGAAATTCCTTAGTGTTCTCAAAAACTAAAGTGTTGGCTATACATACTTTAATAAAATAATAAGGTAATTGTTCTTTTCCTGGTAGAGGGTGTCTGTGAAATCTGTTGGGGGAAGTTTACTTTTAAAATGAGAGGAATGGGGTCACAGCAAGGACAGCAAGGTTCACACAGAATTAAAACTTATTTATAGGTTCTAAGCCTTCCCCAATCTATCTAAACAAAAAAAAAGTAGTAGGGCTTTAAAAAGTGGGATTGATTGCCTTTGCATTGTATGATTACTTGGCAGTCTGGCATTTTTTTTTACTTTTCATGCGGTTGCCACGTATTTTGAGTACTGTTAAGTCTCTGATTAAAATGACAGCGTGTCTTCTTCCCGGTTTCTTAATCAGAGAAGTGTGATGACTGGAAGCCAGCAAAATTAAAGGCAAGTTGACTAGATTATGAATCCTATTTCTTTTGTAATTCATGCCATTACTCTTCTCAGTGATCTAATGTAATTACCTTTTTTTTTTTTTTCTAGGAACATAAGAGGATGTTTGAGAAAGTATGGATGAACTTTCTCAAGGAGAAAGTAAGTGTCCAGTACATTTTTGAAGTTATGTGCTTTTATGTTTCTGGCAACTAAAGAAACCCACCTGCAGTAGGAAGTCAATAAGGCCAAACTAATGTCTCAAGAAAGAGATTTTTCCTCAAGTGTTTAACTGTTCACAGACATGTATGAGATTGGTATTTCTCAACCTTTTTTTCATTCAAGACGCCCTTGACAAGTATTTTCAGTCTCGAGGCACCCCAATCTAAGTCTTGGTTCACGTTACTGTGTCTCAGAATGTGCACAAAATTGTTGCTTGTTCCTGCCACGTAGACAAATGTGCTGCTTTTTAGCAGATGCGCATGGGTGCCATTAATGTTTAATGGTACCCCATACATTGGCAATGCCGTGTGATTTTGGTGCAGCGTGATTTAAAAAAGCAAAGGGTCAGGGACTTCTTTCCCTGTGTTTTGCTCGCCATGATCGGTGAAGGTTGGTACCTAACGGAAGTCAGGGACCTACGGTAGGATTGGTAAGGTACACTATATTGCCAGAAGTATTGGGACGCCTGCCTTTACACACATGAATTTAATGGCATCCCAGTCTTAGTCCATAGGGTTTAATATTGAGTTGGCCCACCCTTTGTAGCTATAACAGCTTCAACTCTTCCTGGAAGGCTGTCCACAAAGTTTAATGGAGTGTGTCTATGGGAATGTTTGACCGTTCTTCTGGAAGCGTATTTGTGAGGTCAGGCACTCATGTCAGACGAGAAGGCCTGGCTCACAATCTCCGCTCTAATTTATCCCAATTCTATCGGGTTGAGGTCAGGACTCTGTGCAGGCCAGTCAAGTTCCTCAACCCCAAACTTGCTCATCCATGTCTTTATGGACCTTGCTTTGTGCACTGGTGCGCAGTCATGTTGGAACAGGAAGGGGCCATCCCCAAACTGTTGCCACAAAGTTGGGAGGATGAAATTGTCCAAAATGTCTTGTTATACTAATGCCTTAAGAATTCCCTTCACTGGAACTAAGGGGCCAGGCCCAACCCCTGCAAAACAAAACCCCACACCATAATCCCCCTCCACCAAACTTTACACTTCTATCTGGCACTGTGGCTGCTACTGGTGCTTTTGCCTCAGCATATGTAAGCAAGGATGATCTTGCTTCAGCCTTAGCGGGTTTAGAAGATAAGATCACTGGGATAATTGCATCGGTTTCTCAGGCAACTAAGAAGTGAGATAGATCCCTGTCACTAGAACCACCAATCCTGGAGCAGGAATAGCTGGAGCCTGAGGATGAGGAAGAGCTGGAGGAAGGTTAGGCAGTAGAATTTCTGTCCAAGGAGAAGCAGGCGGGGTCTCTGCCTCTCAGTCTCAGAGATGTTTAGTCCAGGACCTCACTGATATGGTACAGTCTGGATTCAGGCTACCTCCAATAGAAGCCTCTGAGGTTACTTATTCTTCCCTGGGATTTTTGAAGCCTTCACAGAGTACTCAAGCCTTTCCGGCACATCCTCTCCTGGAGCAAATTATGTATGCCGACTGGGATCACCCAGACAAGGTTTTTGTTCCACCAAAAAGGTTTTCTTTCTTGTACCCCATGGAACAAAAGCTTGTTAAGAAATGGGGGTTGACCGTAGCGGATGCAGCTGTTTAATACCTGAATAAATCTTTGACATGTCCTGTGGATAAGGTACAGTTTTTGAAGGATGCAGGGGATAAGAAGCTGGAGTCTTTCCTTAAGGCCTCCTTCTCCCTGGCAGGTTCTACCGCACAGCCAGCTGTGGCAGCTATTGGCATTTGCCAGTCTTTCTGACCGTGTCAAGCAGTGGATTGGAACACCATCAGTGCAGGGGGATGATGTTCAGCCGAGGATTTGGAGGATGTTCCGCGTGCTTTGTGTTTCATGGTTGATGCTCTTTGAGGACTCAATTCAGAAAATTTCTTGCTTGGCCCTCTTAGCAGTGCACATGCACAATGTTTTATGGCTGAAGAGTTGGTTGGCAGAACTGCCATGCAAAAAATAGTTGGCAGGTTTTCCCATTCACAGGGAACGGCTGTTTGGGGAAGATTTGGACAAATATATACAAAAAATTTTTTGGGGGGGGGATAAGGTTGCTCATCTTCCCTCTAAGAGGAAATCCAAAACGCCCTTCTTTAAGGTTTAGAGGGGCTTTGGTTGCTGGGCCCAGGCAGTCGTTTTGTCACACACAGGTCCCAGCCTCCAGAGGTAGATCCCAGAATCAAAATCCAAGGAGGCCCTGGGTGTAAAAGTCATCTAAGACAGATCCAAGGTCCGTCTCCTTATGAAGAGGTGCCCCCACTTGTTTGGGTGGGGGGGAAGGCTTTTGAATTGTGAGGCCGCATGGAGGGCTGTAATCCAAGTCAAATGGGTAATTTCCACGATTTCTCTCGGGTATAAGCTAGAATTTCGGGTATTTCCTTCTCCCTGGTTACTAAGATCAAATATACCAATAAATCCAGAGAAAAGAAGAGTTTTATTTCAGGCACTTAAATTGCCTATTGTCTCAGGGAGTGATCATGGAGGTTCCAGCAGACTAAAGATTTCAGCCGTTTTATTCAAACCTGTTTACAGTCCCAAAAGCAAATGGGGATGTAAGGCCCATTTTGGATCTCACGGTGCTAAATCGGTTACTAAATGTCCAATCCTTTCGTATGAAATTGGTTTGGTCAGTAGTGGCCTCCCTACAAAAGGAAGATTTTTTGGCGTCCATAGATATCAAGGACGTATACCTGCATGTACTGATATTCATTCCTCACCAAAGAGTTCTGTGATTTGTAGTAGGGGCTCAGCATTTCCAGTTCATAGCACTACCGTTTGGCCTGGCCACAGCTCCCAGAGTTTTCACAAAAATTCTTGCTCCAGTTTTGGGGCTATTCCAGATTCGAGGAGTACTGGAAACAGGTTATCTAGACGATCTCTTGCTCAGAAATCTGTCGGTGCCAGATCTGAAGCAGGATATGGTCTTTACGTTGCAGATCCTGGAACAGCTGTGCTGGGTGCTTAACCTCAAGAAGTCAGCCCTGAAACCAGTTCAGAGCATGGTTCCCCTTCCCTCAAATTTCTTATTTCTTTGGGACATCCCACATAGTCATGAATAGCCTGCTCTTGGATTTGAATTTTTTGTACATACTTGCCTGTAAAATCTATTTCTTGGAGTACATCACTGGACACAGAGGTCCTGCCCCTCTTTCTGGAATTTTCATTGCTTGCTTACAAAAACTGGAGTACTTCCTGTATAGGAGGGGTTATATAGAGGAGGACCTCCTCTCTGATTGGTTGACCAGTGTCCATTCACCTATAGGTGGCCTATAACCCTACATAGTCATGAATAGCCTGCTGTGTGTCCAAGAAATGGATTTTACAGGTAAGTATGGAGAAAAAAAAAATCACATTTTTACAAGCGGTGTTGAAATACTACTACAATTTAAGAATTTTGCACTATACTACCTTTAAAGTGAACATCTATTAAAAAATTATACTATCTACAATCCACCTCTTCTTCACTCCTGGACCTCTTTGTGGTCCAGTGCAACTCTTCTTTAACCACTTGCCGACCGCGCATAGCCGAATGACGGCTTCACCGCGGCCGGCCAGTTCTGAGTGGACGTCATATGACGTCCTCCCAGAACGCGCTCTCCTGCGCGCCCCAGGGGGCGCGCACCCCGGCGATCTCCGTGATCGCTGTGTCCTACGGACACAGCTGATCACGAGATGTGGTGAAAGGCCGATCCCACCGGCCTTTTACCACGTGATCAGCGGTGTCCAATGACACGCTGATCACAGGAAAATGCAAGTGCCGGTTCTCGGCTGCACTTTCCTCACGCTGTCAGATCGTGAGGAAAGTACTGCCGAGAACCGGCAGTTGTCAGAGCGGGGATCGGCACCGATCATCAGGGCCACTGATGATCAGTGCCCTGATGATCGGTGCCCAGCAGTGACCCCCGCAAGTTCCGATCAGCTGTGCGCCCACTAGCCCCGCCCACCCATTCCCAGCGGTGCCCCCACCTGTGCCCAGCAGTGCCCCCACCTGTGCCCAGCAGTGCCCCCACCTGTGCCACTCTGCAGTGCCACCTACCTGTGCCCAGCAGTGCCACCTACATGTGCCCAGCAGTGCCACCTACCTGTGCCCAGCAGTGCCACCTACATGTGCCCAGCAGTGCCACCCACCTGTGCCCACCCACCTGTGCCCACCAGCGCCACCCACCTGTGCCCACCAGCGCCACCCACCTGTGCCCACCAGTGCCACCCACCTGTGCCCACCCACCAGTGCTGTCCACCAGTGCCACCCACCAGTGCTGCCAGTCAGTGCCACCAGTCAGTGCCCAGGGGTTGTGCCAGTCAGTGCCGCCAGTCAGTGCCCAGAAGTGATGCCAGTCAGTGCCGTCTATCAGTACCCATCATCAGTGTCACCTATCAGTGCCGCCTATCAGTGCTGCATATCAGTGCCGCCTATCCGTGACCCCTAATTAGTGCTGTCTATCAGTGCCGCCTATCCGTGCCACCTCATTAGTACTGCCTATCAGTGCCCTTTAGTGCTGCCTATCAGTGCCCATCAGTGCCGCCTATCAGTGCCCATCAGTGCCGCCTCATCAACGCAAATCAGTGAAGGAGAAAAAATACCTGTTTGAAAAATTTTATAAAAGAAACAAATAAACTTTTTTTTTTTTTTTTTTTCAAATTTTTTTGCACTTTTTTTAATTTATAGCGCAAAAAGTAAAGCGCCCAGTGGCGATTAAATACCACCAAAAGAAAGCTCTATTTGTGAGAAAAAAATGATCAAAATGTCATATGGGTACAATGTTGCATGACCGCGCAATTGTCAATCAAAGTGCGGCAGCGCTGAAAGCTGAAAATTGGCCTGGTAAGGAAGGGGGTATAAGTGCCTGGTAGGCAAGTGGTTAAGGTTAAATGAGCAACAGAATCATTCAACCCATTTCCTATTGGCTCCACCTGTTGTAAACAGACCCTATAGGCCAGGGAATGTAATCACCCAAGGATGGGCTAACAGAATTTTTTTTTTTTTTTTTCTTTCTTTTAAGCAGGGGATAGGGGAGAAACTCCAGTGGAGTTGGACTGTAAATATGAAGAGAGTATAAAATCCCTGCTAATACATTGATTATTATATATATACACATATAAACATTTTTATTTCTTTTTCATCTCCAGCTTGCTATAAGTCTGTATAAGAAAGTGCTTTTAATCCTGCATGAGTCTATATTGCCTCACATGAGCAAGCCCACCTTGATGATTGATTTCCTTACTGCGGCCTACGATATTGGTAAGTAGATATGTATATTTTGTTTTGTGTGACTTGAAATTTAATGGTTCTCTTTCATTGTCACAATGCTATGTATTTTTGCTTTGTTCTAGGTGGAGCTATAAGCCTTTTGGCTCTTAATGGACTATTTGTTCTGATTCATCAGCATAACCTGTAAGTAACAATATTTGTGTACAATTTAAATCCGTAATGATGGTTGACATTTTAGGTTGACACCTGCAGGCTTACAGCGATGTAATACATTTCCTTATAACAAGACCGAGAACAGTGAATTAAAGTACAGTTGTTCAAGGTTGCATATTTTGTTAATGGTTTCTATATGTCCTTGTAGGGAGTACCCAGATTTCTACAAAAAACTTTATTCTCTCTTGGAACCCTCCGTGTTTCACGCAAAATATCGAGCCAGGTTCTTCCACTTAGCCAACTTGTTCTTGTCTTCCACGTGAGTTGGACAACTTATACATGTAGCATATCTCTGCTTAATGTTTGATAAATACCATCTGAATTTGATAATTTAATGTGTTTTGCAGCCATCTACCGGTGTACCTTGTTGCTGCATTTGCCAAGCGTCTGTCACGATTATCTCTGACGGCTCCTCCACAAGTATTAATGATGATCATCCCGTTCATCTGCAACCTGATCCGAAGGCATCCAGCTTGCCGACCTCTCATCCATCGGCCTATGGCGTTAGGGGGTGACTCCTTTTCCTTTATATTATTATATCCATGACTTTCTTGTTTTATCACTTTTAAAAGAAACTTGTCATTTCTGAAACTCGGAGGCTGCCATTGCTGAGATAATATTTGTAACCCTGTTACTTTAAGCTTCAATACTTTCTGAATCACTGACTTGGCAAACATTTTAGAGGGTCAGCATGAAAGCCCCTTGATACCCATATACATGTAGTGACGTGTATAAATGTTTCCTGTCACTGCCTGTATTTTTTTTTTTTTTTTTGTGTGTGCTTTGAACACATTTTTTATGTTCACATATTATGAAAACTAAACAATATGTACAGTGGGGAAAATACTTTTTTGATCCATGGCAGATTTTGTAAGTTTTTCCACTTACAAAAAATTTGATGGGTGTATAATTTTTATCATAGGTGTATTTTAAATGATATAGACAGAATGTCAACCAAAATCCAGGAAAAAACACATAATACAAATTTTATAAATTGAGTTGTAGTTCAGTGAGTAAAATAAGTATTTGATTCCTGCAAACCAACAATAATTTTGGCTTCCACAGACTGGCTATGTGCTTATGTGGTACACATATTAGTCCTGTCAATTTAAGAAGATGCTCCTAATGACAATTCCTTATGTTTATAAAAGACAACCATAGTGCAAAAATCAATAACAATGATCGTGGTTATACTTCATAAATTGTTTCATTCGGCAAATCCATTCGTATAGTGTCCTTAACGTTGGTAAAGTGCAATACTTTCAGCGTGCAGAATGTGAAAGTTCGAACAATCCTAAAATAGGGGAAATCCACCACCTTGGACGGATGTACGCTCACCATTGCTAATGGGCGTACCTTTGAGGACGTGCATGCTCGCGAAATGTGTCAGGTGGAGCCTCCATTGGTGACGTCACACCGCCACTGCCAAATGTCAGAGCGGTGGCCATTTTGGTATTTATTATTTGCTGATTTTACTCCACATGGATGTTGATTTTAACCTGAAAGAATTATAATAAAATACTACACTATATACATGTTTCTGGCTCTTGGATTTGAGCTACTTTCCATAGGACAAAGGTCCCTTCTTCCACCATAACCCAGGATGGAGCAGTTTGATTAACCATAAAATTATAGCTAGTGAGAAATAAATTCATATCATATCACGTCACTAAATGTGCAATCCTTTTAACAATGTGCAAATCTTCCATCAGTGAAAAACATACATCATATAATTTGATAAGTGAAATTAAAAAGTGAATAAGAAATAATAAATAAAATATAAAAAATAATAAAAAGTCTCTAACTAAATGACGATTATATCCCAATGTGCAAAGTAAATGTACAGCTTGGATGGATATATTCTCCTTCAATATGAAGATATGATCTTTACTGTGATGTTGAGAACCTGTGTGGCTGCAGGACTGTGAGGGATACTCCCTTCTTTAATCCACTCCTTAGTCCTCTGCCTTTGTATTCCTCGTATGTTACATGTAAGAAAAGGAATAAAAGATATGGTGCCTTATCCCAGGGGTAAAACAGCCTTTTATTGTGCTTCTATATTGCACTCACATTTTAAAAATAACAATAGCGCTTTGTATATATAATATCCCACAGCTTGTAGCTAGATCAAACGAGCGGTGTGTATCCACACACCCTCAGTACTCGCCGTATCGTTGTTAGATTGCGCGATGACGTCACTGCCCCTCCCCAATGCGTTGCGCTACAGGGGTTTCGTAGCTTCGTCCGGGGGATGATGATGTGTCGTGTGTGATGTGGGATATAATAGTCGTTTATTTAGAGACTTTTTATTATTTTTTATATTTTTTTTATATTTTATTTATTATTTCTTATTCACTTTTTAATTTCACTTATCAAATTATGTGATGTATGTTTTTCACTGATGGAAGATTTGCGCATTGTTATAAGGATTGCACATTTAGTGACGTGATAATATGATATGAATTTATTTCTCACTAGTTATAATTTTATATAATTAGTTACGTTTAATATTTATTTTTCACAAGTCATAATTTCAATCACGATACATTATTTATTCTCATATTTTATTTATTTATAAGCACATAGCACTTTTTGATGCACATTTTTTTTGTGGATATTCGAGCGCGTTTAACATTTAAATTAATTTTTGATAAACGCACATCACAAGAGAGTGAGTTTACTAACCAGTGATCTAGTACTTATACCTACATAATATACCTCAGTGGCTCGCAAGCTAATTTGTTTGAGATATTAAAGTATACCTTCAGAGGTCTAGTGGCATTCATACATCAATGAGTCAGGGCTGTTTTAGCAGCAAAAGAGAGAACCTGCTCAATATTAGGTGATCATAAAGTTACGGCTGATCCGTGTACTTATATGCTGTAAATACATACTGCAGAAAAATGGAATAGTGTAAATGCATTATTATGCCCATTTGTAATCTTTCTGTTTTGTATTTAAGATTTAACATCTGATCCGTACATCATGGAGGAGCAAGATCCAGCAAAGAGTCAAGCTTTAGAGAGCTCTCTCTGGGAGATAGAAGTGAGTTGATCAATTCTTTCATCATTACCAGTTTTATTGGTTTGAATACCTCACTAAATAACACAGTAATGATTTGGGAGGCAGCCTATTTAACCAATAATGGGGGTGGGGCAGTAATTTAACATTCCTTGAAGTGTGAATTAGATTCTTCAGCTGGTAGTTTTTGTTGCCTACAGCGGTGATCGGAGACATGGGCAGCTGCAGAGTATTAAATGACGTCTTTGCAGGGCACTACATTGATTTTAGAGTCGCTTTAGGGTCAATCAGTACAGCAAAATATCCTGGATCAGTTGGTAAATGTTGATAAACAAAACCCTATAATTTTAAGGCTAACCCCCGAAATGTGAAAATCTTCCCTTGCAGTAGGGTTGCACCCACACTGCGAAGTTTAAATGCTTTGTTAGTCTAGGGAGGAGTAAAAGGGCTTTAACTTCATCCTCTGCTCCCCGGCAGATGGCGGTGGATTATCCTTTTGCATCATCATGCTATGGACCTTGATGTCAGGACCTTAGACTGGTGGAACATGGGGGAGAAGACACTGCGGGGACTGGTCTAGCAGTGTAGAGGATTGAATAAATCCATAATTATTCATTTTCCTTGAGTTGGGCTTTAACCTCTTCCGCCCCCCTCAAAAGGGCATACCTGTACGTCCTCTGGTTGAAGGGGTTATACTGGGTTGGCATCATCCCAGTATTGTTCTTTTCAGCCAACGATTCCCTACAATGTAAAAGCTATCCCAGTGGCTAAGCAGCCACTGGATTGCTTTTACAGGTGGTTGGAAAGTCTGACCCCCTGTCTCTGCCTTTTGCAGCTCTCTTGGGCTCTCCTGACCCACCGGGAGATGCTATGGTTCAGCCGGCGGTTGCGCCGGCTTACCATGAGGGTGTTAAGAGACCTGATCATCTCTGGTATTTGAAACCTGGAAGTGACCTTTATTAAAGCGGAGTTCCACTCACACTGTCAAAAAATAAGTCAGCAGCTACAAAAACTGTAGCTGCTGACTTTTAAAAAACAGCCACTTACCTGTTCCTTGGTCCTGCAGTGTGTCCCTTGCAGCCCGTTTCACTGTTCATCCTGTATTCCAGGAGACCGGCATCTTCAGTGTGGGCCCCCGGCTGTGATAGCTTGCTGCTTCACAGCCGGGTACCCACTGCGCATGCGCGAGTAGCGTTGCGCTTCATTGAATGGTCCTGTAGTCTTTTGGGACCTGTCACGTGTCCCAAAAGACTACAGGGAGGGAGGACACCAGAAGTGGGAGCGGGTACCTGTCAAATTCGGGTACCCGCTCCCCCCCCGCCCCCCAAAGGTGCCAATCCTTAATGGGGAGTGAGGGAACAGTCCTTAAACTTCCCCTTTTGGGTGGAGCTCTGCTTTAAGCTACTTCCAACTTCCGTGTTTTGTTTAGAAGTTGTTGCTATCTTGTACAAGTATCCGGATCAGACCGATCTTGGTCTAATCTGTTAAGGTCAGAGGAGACATCTGGGGTTTAATACACCCAAGATGTTTTAGTAAAGAAGACCTGTCACTGCTGATTGTTATCACAAGGGATGTTTACATTCCTTGTGACTGCAATAAAAGTAATCAAAAAAATTAGACAATATAAAAAATAAAAAAATCAAATCACCCTCGCCTTCAAACCCCCCCCCCCCCCCCCCATGTGCTTTCGCACAAAGGTGAATGCACATGTCAGTCCCAGTTGCATACGTAAATGATGATTGCACCACACATGAGGCATAATGGCAAAAGTTGGAGCGAGCGCAATAATGCTAGCACCAGACGTCCTGTGTAACTTTAAATTGGTAACCTGTAAAGGTATTAAAATTTAAAGCATCGCCTTTTGAGATTTTTAGATACTGTAGTTTGCTGCTGTTCCACAGGCATGTGATGTTTTAAAGCGTGACATGTTGGGCATCTGTTAACATCATCTTTTATATTTTCCTTTCAATAAATCTTTGAGGATTTTTCAAGTTTGGAGAGTACAAACACAAATGTCTTGTGTACAATAAGGTATAACAATAATAGGCAACATTGTAAAAGCAGTCGTGCATAGCGAAAACATATCAATGATTGGAAACTATGTAACCAGTATGTCAAAGAGTAACATCAACCTTATCGTGTCAATAATATCAGCAGAAGGAGCAAATAAGAGGCTATACACCTATTTCCTGACTTCCAGCAATAACAAAAGAAATAGAGGAATTATGAATGCACAAAGTGGGGGGGGTGGGGGGGGGGTGGTAAGAGAGTCGAAATGAGAACATCGAAAGCGCTTAATGGCATAGCAGAATGGGCATATTGAATCCATGCAGTCCATATTTTGAGGAATCTCGTGGGTATCTGTAAGAATGCTAGAGAGTTTTTTCATTAACCAGGAAAAAATCTAGACGGCTATGGACTTCCATGAAGGATATGAATTGTTTATTCCAGTCTTTTGCTATAGTTTGTTTAGTTGCCAATAGTACGTAAGTAGCCAGCTTAAATTGGTGTTTTGTGAAGCCCAAGAGCTTTAGGGCTTATGCTTAAACTTATGTAATGTTTTGGGAGTCTTAAGTAATTTTCTAGCAAAAATGATGATTTTTGAATGTCAGAATAGGCTTGCGAAGCAAGTGGTTAAACCACACAGCTTCCTTTGACTGCCTATAACATGTTCATGAAACAATGAATCCACGTCATCAGTCCTGCCATTGATCAAGTAGGTAGCCCAGAAAACCTTAAAGCGGAACCAGCAAAGAGCAAAGTGATCATCCTTGCTCTGGTGTGTAACTGTATTAATTACAGGAGTGGCTAAGCAGTTAAAAAAAATTATTTGCCATTTCAAACATTACAAATGTATATGCATATATATAACTGGTTATATATCTTCAATCACGGCTACCATGCACCTTACACCATAGGGTCTTATTGTTTTACAATTAACAATCCAACTCATACAAGACAGCATGGCAACAAAACTTTTTCTGTGTGTTTATTTAGATATCCTTTATAGGTAATGTTACTTCTATTTTTGGTACAGAGGTCTATGTGTAAAGCCCAATAAGAATGCACTTTGGTAGATTTATAAAGTGATATATTTATTTTACTTTAAATAGGTGGGCAGCTGTTTGGGGGTATCTCTGCAATTGGACTTTTTAGTAGGGTTTCAGATCTTGCAAAAAGTGACTTTTGCCAGCATTGGCTGTTTTTATGTCAAGAGAATTTAGTAATGTTTGGTGTAATTGGGATGAATATCTGTGTTTTGGATGCTGCAGAGATAATTTTGCAAAGCATAGAGCTCTGTTTTTACTGGTACCTGAAAATGTTAGTCAACCAAAGTATACCTATATTGCAAGGAATACCTAGGATAGGAATGATCGTTTTGTTCATTTGTGTTGAGAATACTGTGCAACTTGATTCCATGAGTGTATTTCAATGTCTCAATTTGTATACTTGAGTTTTTTTTCCTGTTTTTTAATTGTAGGCTCTACAGAATCACTATTACCCAGATGTTGTTAGAGCTGCCAATGTCATTAGCCGTTCCTTGTCTACACAAGAAAGTGAAATTTCTGAGCTTCTTGAGTTATCTTCCTATGAGGTGAGGAACAGAGAGATTCATCTTGATACTTATTAAATTCACATATCATATACAGATACAGTATTTGAATGCAATAGTTCAGATGTATACATTTATGTATAAAACTAGATGAAGTGAAATTAAAAGTGAAAGAGCGGCCTCTTATACAGGTGAAACTCTAAAAATTAGAATATCGTGCAAAAGTTCATTTATTTCAGTAATGCAACTTAAAAGGTGAAACTAATATATGAGACTCATTACATGCAAAGCAAGATAGTTCAAGCCGTGATTTGTCATAATTGTGATGATTATGGCTTACAGCTCATGAAAACCCCAAATCCACAATCTCAGAAAATTAGAATATTACATGCAATCAATAAAACAAGGATTGTACATAGAACAATATCGGACCTCTGAAAAGTATAAGCATGCATATGTACTCAGTACTTGATTTGGGCCCCTTTTGCAGCAATTACTGCCTCAATGCGGCGTGGAATGGAAGCTATCAGCCTGTGGCACTGCTGAGGTGTTATGGAAGACCACAATGCTTCAATAGTGGCCTTCAGCTCTTTTGCATTGTTCCATCTCATGTCTCTCATCTTTCTCTTGGCAATGCCCCATACATTCTCTATGGGGTTCAGGTCAGGAGAGTTTGCTGGCCAATCAAGCACAGTAATCCCACGGTCATTGAACCAGGTTTTGGTGCTTTTGGCAGTGTGGGCAGGTGCCAAGTCCTGCTGGAAAATGAAGTCAGCATCCCCATAAAGCTCGTCTGCGGAAGGAAGCATGAAGTGCTCCAAAATCTCCTGGTAGACAGTGGACCAACACCAGCAGATGACATGGCTCCCCAAATCAACACAGACTGTGGAAACTTCACGCTGGACTTCAAGCATCTTGCAGTGTGTGCCTCTCCATTCTTCCTCCATACTCTGGGTCCTTGGTTTCCAAATGGATGCAAAAGTTGCTCTCATTAGAAAAGAGGACTTTGGACCACTGAGCAACAGACCAGGTCTGTTTTTCTTTAGCCCAGGTAAGACGCTTCTGACGTTTGTTATTCAGGAGCGGGTTGACAAGAGGAATACGACATTTGAAGCCCATGTCCTGGATCAGTCTGTGTGTGGTGGCTCTTGATGCACTGACTCCAGCCCTAGTCCACTTCTTGTGAAAGTCCCCAACACTTCTGAATGGCCTTTTCCTGATAATCCTCTCCAGGCTGCGGTCATCCCTGCTGCGTGTGCACCTTTTTCTTTCACACTTTTCCCTTTCACATAACTTTCTATTAATGTGCTTTGATACAGCACTTTGGGAACATGTGCCTTAAGCTCTGCCTACTTGCAGACTGGATCTGGAGGCTACCTTAACTCCTTCCCTCCGGCCACATGCATATATGCGGCCTTTCTGGGGCTGGGCCTTTACGCTGAGAGGTTGCATATATGTGTACTCAAAAGAAAAGAAAAATAACACTGCCAAGAGCTCATGTATGCAGTTACTGGCGAGTATCAAAAAGTTCCTGATCTCTATTTGAGCTTTCAGATCATATGACCACTGTGATAGCCAGTCATGGTGATCGCATGATCACAAACCTCACCTCTCGACATCTAAAACTCCCTAAAGAGCTGGGAGGCAGCGGCGCCAAGGGATTAAAGGTTGTGAACTGTAGAACTTGTGCCGAAAACAGGCAGGCAAATGACAAAGTACTAGTCGCCTGTATTTGCTGTAAGCTCCCTGCAGCTGATCTTTTCCCCTTTACTGACTTACATTACTTTGCCCTGCACTGTTTCTATGTGTGGGGGTGGCCATCATAGAGACAGGGATGATTGGCGATTTGGAAATATATAAGAAGTAACAGGAGAGGTTTACAAAGCACAGATCTACAGATTTAAGCAGAAGCAGGGAGATGCATGCAGTGCCCTTTTCTCTCTATGGCAATGACCTAATCCTGTCACACTCCAAATCTTACACTGCAGATACACAGCTATGGAGCTGTGGGCACACTTGCATATTTGAAAGTGCACAGCTATTTTAAAGGAGGAATTCCAGAGCAAAAGTAGATTTTCAGTGTACTAAGGCACAATTAACATTTCTAGACGTTCTCTGGAACATAGCAAATCTTCACTTTTGAGTACAAATCCACTTTAGGAGCGTCACGAAAATCGTGGAAACACAATGGAAATAACTTCTGTATTCTCCAGACTAGCAACTAGGCCTGACAGGATTCTTGGTACAATGTTTTTCTCCATAGCATGTTTTTACAGTGTCTATAGATATAAGGCAAATATTACTTTTAGTGTTTTCTGTTTTGTAAAAAAATCTAAATTGATTCAAAATTCTTTTCTAGCTATTTGAAAAGCAGATGAAGAAACGACATGGGTCTGTGCCACTGGAATTTGAATCTGTACGAGGACTTTTAGGCAGGAAACAAGATATCACAGCTGAACACTTTTCTATATAGCGTGAAGTTCTTGGCGTAAATGAGAACACATATAATGCTTTTTTCATCTCCTAGTGCAAGCAGAGGTAATGGTTTTATGTGCACCATATGAGAACTTGGGACCAGGTGGTCAAATAGACACTTCCCATGTGTCTACTTAACTGTATACTCCAAAGACAAAGATGTCACACAGTTGTATTCTCGGATTTCTGGGTGGTTATGTAGTTACAAGCTTCACGCAAGGACACTCACCCATACAAACAACACAGAAAGACCGGAGCGGAAAGACTTGGGACAGTATTGAGTTTATTTGCATCTTTTCTGGGTTTTTTTTTTGCCTTGTCATTTTGGTTTGTCTATGCATCTTTAGAACACAGTACCATGTATGCAATAACATTTTCATTTCTACAAGCAAAATGTGTTGTATTGAAATTTTTGAGTACAAAAAAAAGTACACTACTACAAAAATCCAAACTGTATAACACCTGAGAACAGTTCAAGGCCTGGTGTATACTAAATTTCCTCTGCTCTGTTTCTCCACAAGTGCTTGATGCTGGAACAGTAAATTTTCACAACTGAGCGATGTCAAATGACAACTGCTTATGGTGCTCTTGTGCAGTAAACTTGTTTGGTTCACTTCTTTGTGAAATGTAAGTTTATTGGCTGTCAGGCCTTTAAACAGTTAACAGACACTTCAACTTTTATTTCAATGAGGTGTTGGGTTGTGCTGCAGAAATTTTGCTGTGACTGACAATTCGTTAACATGGCCCGTTTACACTGTAGTATGTTCACAGCTGAGGTTTAGGTATTTTCATAGCATAGGTCACAATGGCCTATCTTTAACCAATGTAAGTATGCATGTCTTTTGCCTAATTGATGCAAGTATAACCCACAAATCACTGTAGTAGTTACTGCCGCTATACTACAATGATAGCAACTGTAAGTAACAGATCATAAAGATTAAATGTGAAGTTTAGGCATGATTTATATCGCATAGGTACGTTGGTTCAGCTTAGACCAATGTACGTATGCATCTCTCATACCTGACCAATGTCTGTGTAAGCTGGAAATCACTGTATTAGTTACTGCTACTATAGTTATTAGCCGCAGTCTTTAGGGTCCAGTGCTAAGTGGTTTCCCTTCTGCATAGAAACTACAGAAAGGTCACTCGCTCTGCACTGCTGCCACTCAAGAAAGAGAGAAAGGAATCATTGTCCTGCCTCTGCCACATCCAGTCAGCTAAAGCCTTTTATTCATTGAAAAAAATACAAGGCTTTCTTTCAGTGCCACCTGGGTCACCCCCTGTGGTTACTAAGCAGAAGAGCAGCTGCTCAGCTCTGGCTTTGAAAGACTTCTGCTAATCACTGTAGTAGCAGTGACTACTACAGCGATTTGCAGCTTACATAGATCCCGGTCAGGTATAAAATATGCATTCTTACATTGGTTCAACTACACCATATAAATCACAACTAAACTTCAGCTTTAATCTTTATGATCTGTTGCTTTTACAGTTGTGAATAACATTGTATTGCAGTTTCCTTAATAACATTATAGAAAAGTTCTTGATGAATTAATACACATGGAAAGTTCTCAGTGGTTGTAAACACTGAAGATTTTTTACTTTTGATGCATTCTCTGCATTAAGGTAAAAACGTTGCATTGCCTGTCACCCTCCCTCTCTCTCCCCAACACCTGAGTCTGCTGTTGATCCTTCACTGTACCCGGCTGCAGGTCTTCTCACCCGTCTTCCTGCTCTCACAGGGTTTGCTGAGATCAGTGGAAGCCATTGCCTTCTGCTGCTGTCAATCAAATCTGGCGAGAAGGGAGTGGTGGGAGGGCCGCATGTGTTCTCCCATAGCAAATTGCTTGTTATGGAAGAACACACAAGAGGAGTGGAGAACATTGGCAGGGGACCCTAGAAGATGAGGTAAGGGGTCACTCTGCACAATACCATTGCACAGAACAGGTAAGTATAAACCTCTTTTATTTTAATTGAAAGAGTTTTTGCCTTTGCAGTCACTTTAAGATGTAGTTGCTTGTGAGCTGCTTCTGCCATCCTACATTACTAACAGTGAAAGTGCGCCTGGGTATAGTTCAGCTCAGAAGTATGCATACTCTTGGAGAATTTGGTACAGCATGTACCATTTTTAAAGAAAACATGCGTGAGCAGGCAAAACACAATTCTTTTATTTCTTCTGGGATTCATATTCAAGTGTAGGTCATAATCATAAATCAAAACCTGGCAACAAGTAAACAAATAAAATGATCCCTTTTCAAAAGTCTTCATACCCTTAGTTCTTAATACTGTGTACTGCCCCATTTAACATCAATGAAAAATTATTTTGTAATAGTTGCCCCAGAGTGGCTTGATGATATTAAGTTCAGGAGACTGTGATGGCCACTCCAGAACCTTCACCTTTTTCTGCTGTAACCACTGGAGGGTCAACTTGGCCTTGTGCTTAGGGTCATTGTCATGCTGGAAAGTTCAAGAGCGCCCCATGCGCAGCTTTCTTTGCATTCCAAACAATTATTTTGGCAATTGTGACTCCAATCTTTCTTGGTCTAGCTGACTTTGGCTTGGTATCGAGAGATCCCCAAATGTTTCATTTCTTAATAAGTGATTGAATGGTACTGACTGGCATATTCAAGGTTTTGAATATCTTTTTATATCCTTTTCCATCTTTATAAAAGTCTCTTGCCATCACATTCCTTCTGTACTGAAATGTGTTGTAATTGTACTCTCTTCCTTATATTGTAAAGCGCTGTGCAAACTGTTGGCGCATATAAATCCTATATAATAATAATAATGTTATGCAGTTCTTTTTCTGCTCCCCATGGTGTCGTATCTAGCTTGCTCAGTGCATCCATGTGAGCGCTTACAAACTATACACACTAATTGCGATTTAAAAAGCTACAGATATGGGAAATTAACCTTTAACCTCTTCCCTCCCCCCATAGTAGAAATACTGCTACAGGGTGGCAGGGCTCCGCAAAGTCATGTGTATATATACTTGATTTGAATTTTCAGGTAGGGGGTGCGCGCCGCCCTACCTGTGCCACCATTGGCGGCTACGGATGTCAATCACCAGGTCCTGGCTGGAGATTCCCTGCCGGCGATTGCTGAGTAAAACTGACGGGAGAGATCTGTGTGTAAACGAGACAGATCTCTCTCCTGCCAGCAAGAACATGCTGCTATGTATTTTGCTGCACAGCAGCATATTTCCCTAGTAAAACAGCACACAGTTAACCCTTTGCCCCAGATGTTCATTGCTATTTTAACCTGTTTGTCATTTTGTGTCTTTACCAAGGCCCAGACATTCCAGGGTATGTAAACTTTTGATCAGGACCTTTTTGCGTGATTCTGTTTTCATTATGATTTAAAAGGAGCCAAACAACTATTGGATAAAAAATGGTTTCATATGATCACTATCCTTAAATAAAAGACAGTTTTTTTTGGTGCGATCAGTCATATTTTCAATATCAATATTAGAAATTCAGAATTTCTGCCAGGGTATACAAACTTTTTAGCGCAACTGTACCTGAATTGTCTTAGTCACTGCTGGTTTCATCTCTGGAAACCTTCAGTCTTACTAAGTGGGTTTAACAACTAGCTGAAAACCAGTAAAGTAAAGGAATCCTTTTTTTTTTTTTTTTTTTTTTTCTGCCTAATATGCTGCGTGAAGTGTTGCTTTTAGAGGACAGCTGTATATGCCCTGAAAATTTAGAGGCAAGTGTAATGTGCTGCCTTATCTGTAAACTATCACTATTTTCATTTAATAACCTGTATGCTTCTGGTAGTTTTACATTCCAATCAATCTCCACTTACTCATCTTCTAGTTTTAAACGGAACCTCTTCCTTTTCATTTTAGAAGGTTAGTTTGAAAGATTATGGGTCAGGGGTTGGGTGATATTATCTAAAGGCAAATTGTTAAGAGAAGTACACATGATAACATGATTTAAAAAAAGACCAGCATATAAAGAGACATATTTTAAGAGATTTTTAGATTAGGGGTCAGCCACAGTGACTTCTCTAACATATGTACATATTTTACAGGGTACATTTTCATGGTTGATTGTTTTGCTACGTTAAGAATTGCACAAGGAGAGAGACTCTTGGGGGTTTTACTGAGGCAGTAACAAAAGGGGACAAGCTGGTGTTCTGGATGACTATGTAACAAATTAATTTGGGGCTCACTGCAGTTTTTTCTGCAAAATAATCTAATATACCTATCTATAAATTAAGCCTAAATACGAGGGATATTCAGATCAAACTGGGACTTTTAGTTTTACAGATATAAAAAGGGATGCTAGCGTGACAGTACTACACACAGTAGTAAGTGACAAGTAGGCAGCACAGTGGTTAAATGGTTAGCACTTCTGTCTGGCAGTACTAGGGTCATTGGTTCCAATCCCAACCACGGTACCACCTGCCTGGAATTTGCATGTTCTCCCTGTGCCTGCGTAGGTTTCCTCTGGGTACTCCGGTTTCCTCCTACACTCCAAAGACATGCTGGTAGTTTAATTGGCTCCTGTATAAATTGTCCATAGTATGTGTATGTATGAATGTAAGGGACCTTAGTTTGTACGCCCCTTGAAGGTTAGGGACTGATGTGAATGTACAATATGTAAAGCGCTGCGTAAATTGACAGCGCTATATAAGTACCTGCAGTAATAATAACTATATCCTATTAGTGATAGGTGGCACATGTTGCAGGTCAGTATAGAGACCGTTATTCAAAATGGCAGATAACCGTGTTAGTGCGTGCATGAAACAGCGTGTGGTGATGAAGTTTTTTTGTGAACAAAGGTGTGAAACCCCTTGATATTTACAGAAGACTTCAAGCACAGTACGGTGAAGAGACACTCAGCCGCAGTAAGACATTTGAATGGTGGAAACATTTTAAACATGGCTGTACGTCTGTCAGTGACAGTCCCAGCCGTGGTGGTTCCCAGTCCACAGCAGTAATTCTGGTGAACATTCAGCATGTGGAATGCTTGAGCCTGGATAATCAACGCATAAA